TGGTGATTTTGGTTGGTTGTTTGTTTGGTGGCAAGGCTTACCTCATTTGGTGTTTATCGAAGAAATTTTTCAAAGTCCATTGCGCTCGTCATATTTTTTCCCCTTACCTTTTATTAGCTAATGGAAGAATTGTTTTCTCAGTGCACGTAAGCTTTTCTTAACTTTTGCCATTTTTCTGCTGTACAAACGTGGGCTCTTTTTTCTGTCTCTCTCTGTCATAGCCTCATTTTTTCATATTATATTTATTATTATTATTATTATATTTTGAACGGCTTTAGGGAGGAAGTCTAAGCAAGCCAGGAAATTGTTCTAACTCCAGACTGAGAGAGCTTTTTAACAATTTAATTTTAAATTGATATGCAATTTCTTTACATATTGAAGCTTACAGCCGTTTTCTCTTCATCAGGATGAACTGACCGGTGCAACTTAACTAACGCTGTTGAAGTCACCTTAAGCCTAACTCGCAAACCTTGGTGGTGGTGGTCTATGGAAGAACACTGCGACTCACCCAGCACAAAACACCACACCTAACCTGCAGCTGTCAAGTCCTGCGCACAGTCCTGGCATTGAACCAGGCAGTCTTCGAAACATCAACTTACAGCTCCTATGATGGGAACGCTCGACGCTAACCCCGGCAGCTGTTTGTCCTTGCACATATATATATCTATCAATCACTCTGTGTATATACACCCACATACTATATATACAGTACATATATGTATATATTCTATATATTACTACTATACTTATACCATATACCCTACGAATTTACATTATTTTTAAAACATTTACCATTTAAAAATTTTGTTTTATCCGATGTAAACATTACTTATTTATTTAAAGAAATATTTTTATTTGATTCCAAGTTGTAGTTTCTTCCTAATTTAACATTATCGTAAAATGAATTATAAAGCGAGTATTTTTATTAGTCTTACGACATTTTCGATTATCAAACCGTCCTTCTGCCCGGTATGGGTCGGATAATCGCAAATGAACTTCATTTTCGAACTACAAGTCAACGTCACAATTTGCGTTTCGAACTTACTTCATTTGTTTCACCATTATAAATATATTCAGGACGTGAGTGACTTCCTGGTGGACACACTTCCTATTCTATCAGCTTGAGCAAAAATACTAGACAAGCAGAGTCATTTCATGACGTCATCCAGTGATATTAAGTAATAGGCAAACAGGGGTGCCAATGCATTTGCCATACGAAAGAAATAAACAGTGTACACACGAACAGGTAGAGTATCAGATTGCCAGATGCCACGATGCTTGTCGGAAGAGACAGATGATCCAAAAGGAAGAAGAATAAAAATAAGTCTGACATTAAAGTAACTTTACTTTATTTTCTC